ATGAAAGATGCAGTATTAAAAAACTGAAGTTATTAACGAAACAAAGCAACTAAGAAAAACTGACCTTTCAATTTTGTCACCAGAAACTGGATTCAATTCATATATTGATAAACTAGTCTGAGTCCTTTTATAGAATTTGAAACCAATTTCTCTCGCTGCAATCACAAATGCCAATTCATCTGGGGATTCAGTTTCATATGAGACATTTCCTGTATCCTCATCAACTTCTGGTAGGGCTGTATGGCAGATTGCCAATAAGTGAAAAAAATTCTTAATAACATTAGCATAAGGCTCATTGACCCATTTTCCATTCATTATCCTTTCATCTGTAAAGTTAAATCCTTTGATGGGAACATTTCTGACAGGAGAATCCCTTGTGTCGTCAATCAAAGTAGAACCATTTTTGCTATCCAATGACCTCTCAACCTCTGTAACTCCACGGCCATAAGCTACCCCAGCAATCGAACATTTGATGAACTCCATCGTGTTGCAGGTCAGAGTTCCAGTTTTATCAGAAAGTATTGTATCAACTTGACCAAGTTCCTCATTCAAGTTTGAAGTTCGGGCATAAGAAGGTTTGTCTGCATCTTCATAGTACATATGGATATCTTGATTGATGAAGATGCTCTGAAGGACTTTAACAATTTCTATTGAAACATACAATGAGATGGGAATGAAGAAACCATATAACATTAAGGCTGTAAAAAAATGAAATATAGCAGCAGCTGGTGCTCTTTTAGGATCAAAGAAAATTGTAGAGTCGTCTGGTCTTAGGTACCACCTTTTCATCAATCCATTGTCCAAGTCATCTTTAGTTGTGATGCCAAAGAAAATCGATCCAACAAATGCCATTAGAAACACAATACAAAACATGAAGTAGACAACCCTATCCATCTTCTTCTCAACCTTGGTTCTCTTTGAAGGAGCATCAGTGGAATTCTGAATGACCTTTGTGTCATGACCAGTGAAGATGACAGCTCCAAATATGTAGTCTGTGTTACGAAGTTTAGAGTCTCTCAGAAGAAGTTGCAGGGGAGAAAGGGGATACTGCTGTTCTTTATACTCCATGCTCCCAACAAATGAATATAAATTTGCATTTGGGTCTTCACATTTGATTGTTGCTTGAAAATCACTGAATTGAAAGTCCTCATGTAAGGAAGAAGTTACTTCCAACCCTTGTTTTAACTTCAAATTTGTCTCCCCATCCAAGTTCATGGTCTCAACATAGCAGAATGCATCCTCGTAACTGGAAGAAAGCAGTAGGAGGTCTGCAGGAAAGAATTCGTCCTTCATTATCTTCACTATATGCCCCACCTTCAGATTCTTCCACTCAGTATATTCAAAGGTTCCTTGCCCTGTATGCACTTTAACTCTTCTGCTATTGACCTCAATATCCTGCAGCGGAATTCCACTAACTAGGTTATAAACTCTAATAATGCTAAACAATTAGCACTTTATTTTTTCTTAAAATAACTAGTGGTATATTACTTTAATTTCAAATAGATATTTAATTAAAAAAATTGAAAATCACAATCATATTAGCATAGACAACAGGACTTAAAATGTGAGAAAAATTTTGGCAGGAAAATTTTTATAGATAATATTTTAGGGCTTTCTTTTTTCTTTTTTTTTTCTCCACTGTAATTGTATAAAATGATTAAGTTTCAACTCCAGTATTAAATTTAATCAGGGAGATAGAATTGACAACTACATCCTTTTTAGGCAAGATATAGTAAGGATCTGAACAAAATAGCTGGAATTTTCCATAAACCAACTGCCATTCCATAAAAGGAGCAGAGCATCTTTTATAAACTAGCAATCCCTCCACCTTTCAAGAAACAACGATTTTCTTTTAAAAATTACTGATATTCTTCAGGCCATGGGGTTCTTGCTATCCCCAAATACAGTTTACAGATACTTTAAGTTGTTCCACATTAAATCAAATTTAGAAAGAGAATCAGATTCGTTCTAAATCCACACAGTTGTGCTGCAGGGTGTAAGACAAAAAGGTTCAAGAACCTTACTTTTAATAAAAAAAAAAAACTCATAAACCACTGTGATGATAAAGTAGAAGATAGAATCTTCGTACCTGCTGTTTCCTTCGCCAATCTTCAATGCCCTCTTTGATCATAGTTGCTCCAATAATAATAATCAGAGGAAGGATAGCACTGACAGCTGTATAAGGAGCAAGCTTTGTGAAGGCCAAGATGCCAGTTACCAAAAAAAAGAAATTAGCCACCCTCCTAAACTGCTCAAAAAGTGACTTAGGCAAGAAAGTAGCAAGATTATACTTAGTAGAGCTCACGGAATTATCAGCGTAACTCCTTATCCCAGCCTCAAAGCTCTCTGGTTCATTGCAAAACACCACCCTCGAATACCCTCTCCCTCCTATCTGCGAATGATCCTCCTTGAGAGATTGTTTCCCACATGCAAATGAATAGATCTTACTAAGATGCAACTTCCTTCTCCTTTCACCCCTCATTCTTCTCCTCCCCAAGTTCACCATTCAATCACCAATATCCACAACCGCAAAGCAGAAAAGAACACCCTTAGAAAGAAGAACTACGTGCTCCACCCCTAAACACCAATCACCAAAGACAACAGCTATCAAAACTAACAACCTCCCCAAGTCCTTGCCAGACTCAAGGTCACTCTCGAATTTCACAATATAATAAAAATAAAACCCTCAATGCACCCTTCCACAACCCCTCTCCAAGGACAACCACAATTCACAACCCCAAAAACTAAAAACTGTAACCAATTAACTCAAGCCAACGACCCCAAAAGTGAAAAAAAAAAAAAAAATGACCGATCACAGAAGAAGAATGAAAAAGAAGATTACAAAAGCCTGACACCAATATAACACAAAGATTCAGAGATGCTAGAATATATACATATATATATATATATATATATATATATATATATATATATACTGTCAAGGAGAGACACCAAGTATGTAATATATATGCAGAAAACAGAGAACACTCAGAAACAGACACGTCAAAGGGTGCCTAGAAAACCATTCAAGGAATCAACTTGGGAAGAGAATGTTCTAAGAAGGCAACAGCAACGAGTGAAAATTCACCATGTTCGGCAATTCCTCAAAGTATGAAACATTCAGAGGAAGAATAACACGGTGGTGGTGACCAAAATGGCAGCAACAGCGTTGAACAAAGACTTGGATTGGATCTCGCATTTCTCCGTGGACCCGCATTACCCTTCGATGAATTCAAATTTGCACCACTTTTATACAGTGCCATGGTAAAATGGGGCATCCAAAGTATAACGAAGGGAAGAAAAATACAAATTACAATTTAAAAAAAAAAAAAAAGTTATCAAATTTAAGCAACAAAGAGAGAAAGAGAAAGTTGTCTTGTTATGTTTTCTTCTCCATTTCGCGGGAAAGCTATAGAGCTCCTCAATGGTGATGTGAGACAAGCCTCTCTTTCTCTTTCTCTCTGGAGGAAGCTTCACAGCTAATTAATGCATTGAAAAGAAGAAGATACAACTAAGTAAAAACTAATTTTGTATAATATTGAGAATAATGTGGTGAAATTGGAAATAATGATAATCATGAAGAACAGGGTAACAGGAAAAAATAGAAAATAAAACACACAGGTTTTTTACTTTCAGGAAAATTAGAATAATAATAATAATAATAATAATAATAATAATAATAATAATTCTTATATGCATAAGCAAAATTGGATTTTCGCAAGTGCAAGTGGAGTTCGGTTGTGAAATATTAATATGGCATTGAGTATAAGAAAAAGGAAGAAAAATAATATATAAAACTTAAATGTATTAACTTTTAAAAAAATATTTTTTTAATTATTCTTTTAAGAAATTTTATATAGAGAATAAAAAAAGTGGATAAAAAAAACTCAATAATGAACTTAGAGATAAATTATAAATAAGATTAAACTTACTTTTAGGTGTACATTCCTGTAAATTTTAATTTATATACCATTTTAATCATCATTCACTTATAAAAAATTAAATCATTTATATTATAACATATAATTATAATAAAAAATGTTAACGTATGTCGTAAAAAATAATAAATTAATGATCAAACCTATTATTAGAATATGTCTTATAAAGTAAAAAGGTAACATATTAACAAATGATTTTTTTTAAATTACAAATATTAAATCTGTTTTTAAATTCATAGAAATTAAAATCGTATATTTATAAATCCTAAGTTATAAACCATAAAACTTATTGAGATTTATTTTTATTTAAATTATATATTTTTTAACAATAAATACTCAATAAATGGATGGAATGAAACTGTGAACAGTTAATGAAAAGTATTTATTGTTGTGAATTTAGAAGTGGTGTTCAGAATAAATTTATATATATATATATATATATATATATATATATATTCTTTTAATGTATTATTGCATACAAAATAGTTAAACACGATTAAGGTTAATGTTTCTTTTAAATACAAATATAATAAAGTTAACATAATCATAATTTTTTTTCGTATTTAATTGTTATTAGTAATAGAAATAGTAATAATCATTTTACCTTTTAAAACTTAAAGAAAGTTAAATATGTGATTAAATGAAAATTATAATGATTTTTTTTAATATAAAAATTAGTATGTTAATGAAACTATTAAAATATCCTAATAAAATTAAATATATATGTAGTCTTATGTTTTCAAGCATTTTGTAAAAAAAAAAAAAAAATATATATATATATATATATATATATATATATATATATATATATATATATATATATAATCATGTAATAAACGTTTGTTTCATGTTATGAATACTATTATATTACAAAATATAATTTATAACGTTGAACACATTCTTCTTTTTACTCTTTCAATATTCGTGACATTCTAGAGGTATATCACACTTTAATCTGAGTAATAACTTTTCTTATGCACATTTTTTTATTATTATTTTGATCTTTTGGAGATCATAACTTTTCTGATTTTGAATCTTTTTTTGTTTCTTGTAATGTGGTTATTATGAATACTGTATTTTTTTTTAGTTTTTTTTTTATATTTTTAGTGTTTACCTTTTGCTAAAAAGAAAATTATTAAAAAAATTTATTTGTACTTTAAGAAAAATTGAGAAAATGTCAAAATCTCATTTTAAATTACTGAATTTGATAACTTCAAATTGCAAAATTGGATGCATAAATATTTTTATTATCTTTAAAAAAATAATTTTTTTGATACAAGTTATTTTTATAGCCCAATACATATCTTTAAATACTTTTAAAAATGACTCTGTAATGAAATTTAATTTAAAAATATTTTTACAAAACTATTAATTTATAAAGATAAATTCAAGTAAAAAAAAATTCAAACACCCATTGTCAGAGAATGTTACTTTCAGATAAAAACATTTCTATAGTATCACACGCTTACGGGTCAAACCTCCCTTTTTTTATTGTTTTTTTTTTCGATAAATTGATGGTCAATGAAACTCTCATTTTGTACTTGATATCTTTTGCCCTATCTTTCTTTCTCGTGGATTATTCCGTAAGTTGACACTTGGACAAATTTTTTTATTGCTTAAAAAATATCTTTGGTCTTTAATTATTTTTTTTGAAATAAAAATGATTAATTTTTTTAATTAATTATTTTAGTTCAACCACCAAATTAAAATATTAATCATGTTAACTTTCACTAGTACTAAATTTATTTATTTATATTTTTTTATTATTATTATTATTTACATAAATTTTAATTTATTTTACATCAATAACACCTAGAAGAACTAATTTAAAAGTACTATATTTTTTATCTTCATATTAAAAAGCTAAATATTTTTTTTCAAACTTAATTTTTATCTTTATATATTAAAATTTAATTTTTTAATTTTTCAATTAAAAAATCAATTAAGTCATTTATTAATTTGATAAAAAATATTATTAAATATTAATTTTAAATATACAAATAATTAAAATCATATTTGAATTTAATTATTTTATTAATTTTACAAGTCTAAAAATATATTATTATTAAATTTAAATTAAAAATACTTTAAAAAAATATTTGAACTTGATTGATTTAATTTTATTTTAAAATTTTATAAATAATTCTATAAAACATATTTTTTAATTAAATTCAAATAAATTATTATCGATGAAAGAAAATAATATTAATAATAAAAAAGCATAATAAAAATAAATAATTCTTATAATTTATATAAAAATAAAATATAATAAAAATATAATTATAAAAATGTAAAATATATTTTTATTATTTTTATTTTATTTTATTTTTATAAATTAGAATAAAGATAAATTCTATTAATAAAACAATTATTAAATAATTTTTTATAAAAAAATTAAAAATAAAAATGGTTTCTATAAAACAAATAAACCTATGTCATTTAATATATATATATATATATATATATATATATATATATATATATATATATATATATATATATATATTAATTTAATTTTAAGTTGGAATAAGAACATGCATGGTTCGCTGTCTCTACGGGATACGTGGAAACGGAACCTGGGAAGAGACAAAGTAAAGTTAGAAGGAAGAGTTCAAGACAAAACCATGATTTCTATAATAATAACTCTGATTCTTACTTATTATAAATTAAAGAAATTTGATATATCAAATGTATAGAAAATGTTATACATATTAAAATGATAAAATTTAAATTTAAATGTTGTAGGTAAAATAATTGAAGAAATGTACTCACTAAAAAAACGTCTATTTAAATTGAAATTAACATTTTAGTTATCTATTAGAAAACATTTAATTATATAATTAAATTAAAAATAATAAATATTTGTAATGCATAAACTACATAATAGTTCAATTTTATATAAAATATTTTTAAAATGTAAAATATATTCCAAAACTTAAGACCTATAACTTATAAATTATATTTTTAAAGTATTTATAATGGTTTAATATTATGATTCAATATATAAATAAAAATATAAAATAATATTAAAAGAAACATACAGTTAAGAAAACTAAGTATAATAATAATAAATTTTGGGAATAAATTCAATCAAAACTAAAAGGTATATCTTAAAATATAAAAAACAAATAATGTTAAGATTAAGAAAATACGTCTAAACTCAATGTTAAGAATATAATTTTTATTATAAAAAATAAAAAAAAATGAAATACAAAAAAAATATTTTAAATTTTAGAATTAAAAATATAATTTGTTATCGAAATGAAGGTGGTCTCAAAAAAAAAAAATATGAAGTCGGTTGATCGATTTTCGAGTTTCTACTTGAAACTGTTTCTTTCAAGAGAGTGTGAATGTCTATATACAAAAGATACTTTTATGCTCAAGTCAGTTTTTAAACAAGATAACGATGTGTTTTATAATGAGTTATGAGGTGAGGTTTACTTTTTTTATTAAATCTTCTATATAGAATTCAAAAGATAATAATGGGTCAAGATATAATAACTCCGTAGCCCATAAAATATAAGATAATATAACAAAATAAAAATAATTAATAACAAAATAAGCAAAA